ATATATATATATATATATATATATGAATATATATAAAACAGTCAGAGAGGAAAAGAAAAAAAAAATATGCATCGTGTCTTATTGGCCCGCAACCGTGTTGATTTTGTGGCCACGCTCCTGCAACAGGGACGCCTGGCGGATATGTTAATGCTTCGGCATTTCACCGCTCCCGGCACTAAAGTCTCTCTAGAAGAATTAAAGGAAGAAAGCAGCGGGACGCCTGTGAAAGAAACTGCAAGACACGCGTTACTGAAGAAACGTGAGGCGGTCTATGCAAAAGCCATGTCGGTGCCAAACACTGCGTGGATGTCTGCTGCTGCCACTGCGTGCGGCACGAAGGAGGAGTGCTGTGCGCTTTCACAGTCCCGCGAGACGGTGCGGGCGACTGTGAACTCCAGCGATCCCACACGCGTCACGTTGAACGGCACGTGTTTCACCGCCGTAGAGGAAAAGAACCTGCCGGCGTCCCTGCGACTGGCGGCATCCTGCGAGAATGGAGATGCGGTGATGTTGACAGTGCCGTTTGCGCAGTCTGGCGAGAGGGTGCAGAGTTACGCCGTTGGCGGGGGTTTGCGGGCGGTGCAGTTGTGCGGGGCGGAGGGATCCATCGTGGCGGATGCGGCCGCCGTGGATGAGTTCACCGCCGAGCAGAATGTGTTGGCAGCGGCAGCCTGCAGTGGCGTACTGCGGCGCTTAGAGGAAATATGCGCCCGACACGCCACCAACACGGCGCGATATGATGCCTTGTTAGTACGCAATCCGGCCGTGCAGAAGCGACTCTCACAATTGGCGTCCGCCCGCTTTGGGGTGGAGGCGCTGAGTTCATTTGTTACTGGTCATGATCCTGCGATGGTGGCGGCGGATACGAATACGAATTCCACAGATTCCACCGTTCATCATGAGAGTGAGAAGTATACACCATCACTGGTAGAGTCTGTGGCACTGTGTATGTTTGCGAAACACGTACTCGCCGAGGGTGTTGCCCACGCCCGTGAAATTACACGCTACACTGAACTAACACAGAAACAACCGCACAACTCCAAACCAGAGTGTTGCATTGAGTACACATACGCCGCAGAGTTGTTTGGATGTGAGCGGCAGTTGCTATCGAGCATGGGCGGAGGTACAGCAATGCAGGGAATGCGCTATATCGCCCCACTGCTCACGCAACAGCCACATACACAGCAGGAACAGGGAACAAACCCATTTACTAATATACCGGAGTTAATTACATCATATGTACTCGGTGCGGAAAACAGTTCTGTGCGCCTTGCAGCTCCTCACGTTAATTTGCAGGTGAGTACGGCACGATTGGAAAAAGATATATCCCTAATGCTTCACCGTATCCGGCAGCACCATAAGCAACACAAGACGCAACGAGTAGATCCACTCTTCGTTATGGCGATTGCACAGTACGCGGCAGAAGTATTTGCCAATGTGGCTGTTGTCTACCGCACAACGGCTTCTCTTTCACGTGAGGACCCTAGTGGACCACGTAATTGGCTGCTTGCACAGTCTTTCTGCTCTGAATCCAACGCCCGCCGCATACGTGTACTGCAGGAGTGGGATCTCTCCGTCAGCGCACGGCGGGCACTTAGTAAAGCTGGCAATCTCGACGAATGCACTATTCATCCCGTGGAGCTTATGAATGTGGAACCAGCAAAGAAGAAGGCTACAACAACAACAGCAAGTACAAGTACAAAGACGGAGTCCAAGGTGAAGAATTAACAGGGTATTACAGCACTGCATTGCGGGAGATGAGACAGGATAAACGGAAAGAAGAAAGCTGCAGCAGATCCGCTGACAGTATCGTCAGAAACAGTTAAAATTCTCTCCACTGTTACTAATACTACTGCTACTAATTCCGTTATGACCACGAGTATGACTATTACTACTACTACTACTACTACCATTACTATTACTACTAATATCATACCCAGGTATGAAGAGAAAGAAACGAAAAGAAAAAGAGAGATAAACATCGCGCTATGAATGTAGCGCATTAATTGAGACAGTCTTAGGCGAAACATGTCAACAACAACAAAAAAAAAGAAAAAAATCAAACACAAGTATTGAAGAGGTGAGAAGGAAAAAAAAAGTACGCAGGTCCTCTTTACTCTGGCAACTCTTCTTTTCTTTTTTTTTCCACCACTATCATCAATTATGGGAGAGAAGTCTGAAGGGAGAGGGGCCTTGTTCCTGCACGATGTCTTGCAGCAGCAGCAGCAGCAGCAGTAGTAGTAATTGTGATGATGTTGATGGCGCTGGCATTTGCACCGCTGCAGGGGAACTCGCTGCGCAGATTGAAGATTGCGCTAGTGTGCTTACATGCATAGACTCTGAGGTATCTGTGCGGTCTATTCAACCGCTCTCACCGCGGGGTAGCACAGTAACAGCATGTGTGACCTGGCGCACAACACCACTACTACCACCATCACCACAAACAAGAACACCACCAATGACAAACACAACAGAGACACAGAGTGTAACTCTACGATTTAGCTACAGCGGAGGATTTACTTGTGGGGAGAACTCTGGTTCTGCGAGCGTCTATGAGTCGCTCATGTCGTTGTTGCTGGCGAACGGATGTGGGGTCCGGAAAGGCGCGTGAGAAGTGTATAAACGATGCGTGCAACCTCAACCAACAGGAAGAAGAAAGAATCAATGACGACAAGAACGATAAAATAGTAATAATAATAATGAAAGTATCTTCAAGAAAGAGTCAAAAGGTTAATGTATCTTAATTTTTTTTTTCCGTTTTCTTGTATTTATATTCCTCTTTTTCTTTTTTTTCTTCTCCCTGGAAGTAGTAGAGGGTTTTTTTTTTTTTTTTATATTATATATATACCCTGTCGGTTGAATTTCCTTTAGGTCACTTTTGCAGTAATGATTCACCTCGCCGCCTACCTTGTGGTTTTGGTTATTGCTGCCTTATTGACCTGTCGTGCCTTTGGCGGCAGCAGCAAGAGTGCGCATGTGCTCGCTGGGCCCTCACGGGGTCTTGACTTGTTCTCCGCATCCTCTTCGCGCGGGGACGGTGTGAAGGCGAAACTCCCCTCACACATCCATACATTAGATCTGGAGCAAACACGCATGTTGGCACATTTACACCAGACGTGTTGTGTGCTGCCGGTGCGGGCGGAGACGGTGGAAGTCCTCGCGGGGCCGGCGAAGTTCTACGCGGAACTGCAGCGACGCGTGCGGGCGGCGCAGCGGCGGATTGTGATGTCGGCACTGTACGTTGGCGATGGCCCGCTGGCCGCACAGTTCGTGGCGTGTTTGGAGGAGAAACTCACAGACGCCGTGAAGACCGGCAAGCCGCTGGAGATTTGTTTGCTGCTAGATCACAATCGAATGCACCACAGCCGCAATCTGCTCACGGTGCAGCGACTGTTGTTGCTGCAGCCCCCTGCAACAGCCGCCGTGCGAGTGCGAGTGTATCTCTTTCAATCACCGAGCCGCTGGGGTCGTTTGCTCGCCCCACTAGGCCGAGCACGAGAGGTGTTGGGTGTGCAGCACACAAAGATATTTTGTTTTGATGACCGTGACACCATACTGACAGGCGCTAATCTTTCCGATGACTACTTTGCTACTCGCATGGACCGCTATGTTGTGATTGAGGACAACCCACACGTTGCCGGTTGGTTTACAGACCTTGTAGAGACACTTTGCCACATTTCACATCCTGTGGTATGCCGTGAAGAGTTCGCACGCAGGAAGGATGATGGCAATAGTAGTAGTACTAGTACTAGTAGTAGTAGCAAGAGTAATAAGAGTACCAATAACCCTACACTACATAAAAAAAGTGATTTGGTTATTCTTCCAAATGCTTCGGGTGTTGATCCCTCATCGGAGTGTTCTGTTTTCTGTGCTCTGGCTCATCAGCTCTTAAAAGAGTTTGCTACCAGAGCTGCTCAGGCATCAGCAGCATTGCAGCCATTTGAAGAAGAATACGATACCTTTATATTTCCGACTCTCCAATACGGACGAGCAGGCATCTTTCACGACTCTTTGGTTCTCCAGCAGCTACTTCACATGGTCCCACCTTCAACACATGTTTATTTGACTTCACCTTATCTCAACATGTACGCACAGTTTGTGGATGAAGTTCTTCAAAGTAAGAGTTCATATGATTTTATTACAGCTAGTGTTGATACAAACGGGTGGCGTGGAGCCAAAGGATTTGCCGGATACATCCCCTACTTTTATTTACAGCTTGAACGAGCCTTCTACTACCTTATGCAGGCCTATGGCTGCTCAGACCGTGTTCAGGTACGGGAATTCAGTGTAGATGGTCTGACCTTTCATGCCAAAGGTTTGTGGTTTACCAATCAGGAAAAGGTTGTGAATGGTATTTGTGAGAAGTCATGCAATGGTCCAAGTAGTAGTAGTGGTAGTAGCAGTAGTAGTGGTAGTAGTAGTCCCTGTGTTTGTAAGCATGAGGGAGAGAAGGGGCACGTTGCTGTGGGTGCCCCATACCTCGTTGCTTATGGCAGCACAAACTACGGCAATCGCTCAGTCCACAAAGATGTTGAGGCGGAAGTGTTTCTCTTTACCACAAACACAACTCTTCGTGAAGCCCTGCGGGATGAATTAGTGTTCTTGTTGCAGCAATCAAAGGTTGTCACTGAGGAACGTTTTGTACGTGGCGCACGAGGACGATTTCAACCTGTTGTTTCTTTACTCGCCCAAATGGGACAAGATTATCTTTAAACCGATAATGTTTTTTTTTTTTCTTTACTGTTAACATTGGTCCTTCTCTGAATATATATATAAGAAAAAAAAGGAGAATGAATGGGAGGAAAATGGAGTGATGTTTGTGAAAGCAAACGAAGAATGAATGAATTAATGAATTAAAAGAAAGAGGAGAGCTATTTTTAATAGGGATCTCATTAGCATTGATTGATACTATTCTTTAAATAAAGAAATAAAACTGTGAAATGAGACCGGATGTTTTGTTTTGTTTGAACGCGAATCTCTCTTTCTTTCTTTTTCTCGGTGACGAGGTGCCGTATTGTGTGCGAATCACAGAGGTCTGATCACTTTCCACTACTATATCTCTATAACATACAAATATGTAGTAGATAACAGGTTTCTTTCGATACGTCTGTTGGTATCCCTTCCCTCTTTCTCTGTAATTAAAATGAGTAGGTGCTTATATGTTTTTTTGTTTTTAATGAACAATGTATACATATTTTGAGTTTATGAATAGATACGATTTATATATCTGTACATGTACATGTGTACAAGATTCAGAGATTTCTTTCTTTCTTATCTTCTATTTCTTTTATTAACTGTCACATCAAAGTAGTAATTAAACACTCACGCGAGAAGTTTATCAGTCTGTGTGTGTGTGTGTTTGAGAAATAAAAAGAGAAAGCCAAAGTCATTTTTTATATACAGAGCAAGAAATATATATATATTTTTTTCTTTATAAAAGGAAACAAAAATATTTTTTTTTTATTTAGAATAAAAGCATCAAAGTCAACGTGTGATCTCACATAAAATTTTAATTATCATGCAAGAAACATCAAGTGAGCCGATCGATCCTTTCGTACCTCGGAAGTACATTGTGGAGAAACCACAGTTGGTGGATACATTCCGCGGCTCTGCGTCCTTTGCAAAGATCATTGCATACCTGCAAGGCTGCTCAGAGTCAGTGGAGGGAATTCCACGGAGTGGGCGACTTGTGCAGAACCCCGCGGAGCTTCACCCAACACTGCGATTCTTCGTTGAGACATTTTTCCCGCATCTCCACAAAATTGTCGATGAGGTGCCGCTTGAAGATATGAAGCGGCAGCGGTTTGGAAATAAGGCATTTCGTGTCTTTCATCAACGGCTAGACGCAGACGTGGTGGGCCTCATGCAACAGTTAGTATCTACACTACCACCACCACCACCACCACCACCTCAACAACAACAACAACAACAGGCAACAACAACAACTAACAACAACGAGCGGAGTGGACGAAGTGAAGAGGATCAACAGCGACTTGCGGTGGAGTTGGCGGAGTATATTAAAGATGCATTTGGAAACGCCACTCGCATTGATTACGGCACCGGACATGAGTTACACTTCTTTATTGTGATGATGATTTGCCTGGAGGAGTGCGGCGACGCCGGCGGCACGCTGCACGCGGAGCCGACGGTCATTGTGCCCCTCAATCACCCGCCGCCGTCGCCGGTGCCGGCCGGCAGCAAAGACCGCATTTCTCGCCTGCGGCAGGGAATGGTGTTTGATGTGTTCGGCGCCTACATGGAGTTCATGCGGCGGCTGCAGAAGCACTACCACCTGGAGCCGGCCGGCTCACACGGTGTCTGGGGACTGGACGACTATCATCACCTGCCGTTTGTCTTCGGCGCCGCGCAGTTAATTGATAAGGACGTCCCACTGAAGGCCAGCGGCGATGGCGGCGCGGGATACGGTGCGATCTTGCCAAAGCACATCTGTGAAGAGGCAGAGGTGCGGCGACATGCGGAGGATTACATGTACTTTGCACAAATTGCATGGATTAGGGAAAACAAGGTTGGACCTTTCTTTGAGCACAGTAGTATGCTGTATAATATCAGTGGGGTGGAAAGCTGGCGCAAGATATACACTGGAATGGTTAAAATGTACGCCGCAGAAGTTCTTTCAAAGTTTAATGTGGTACAGCACCTTTTATTTGGACCACATTTGCCTTGGCCAAGTACGACTGCAGTAGCGTGATTTTTTTTTAAAGACCTTTGTTTGTTCGTTTGTTTGTTTTTGTTCTTGCCTTAAGAGTGTGTAGTACCTTCTTTTTTCTTCTTTTTTCTAGAGGAGAGAGGGAGAAAATGGATGTTGTGGGAGAGTTCTCTGTTATTGTTATTATTATTGCCATTGATGCTATTTCACTTATCTTGCAATTGTAAGTCACATACAGACATATATACGTATGTATATAAATATGTATACACATACGTTTTTTCTCCTCTTTTGTTTTTCTCTACTATTGTTATTGTTATTGCTTCTTCTTCACTAGACGTGGATTGACAAATAATAGTCATATCAGTGTATCGTCAATTATTTTCAGAAAAAGAAAAGCAAACATAATTAATTAAAAGCAAATAATAATACACAAGACGAAACGTCAAACGTACATTGTTATATTATATTATTAAAGTAAAAAAAAAGGAAAGATGGTGTATCAATACCGTGATCCGGTCTCACAGCTAGCTATTGTACCGTTAGAGACTCTAGACCGAAATGCTCGCACCGCCTTTCAGTCGTTACTGTCGCTGATCCCATCAGATCCCGTAGTTCCAGTCATTCTCTACTACTCACGTGTAGAGCGATGTACACGGCGCGGTAGAAAAGTATTACGCTATCTTCTTATCTCTCGCACGCATTGGTATATATATAAAACCACCGGTGAACTGACCCGTTGTAGTAGAATTGATCATATCAGTAAAGTCATCCTTTGCCGGGATGGATATATGTTGTGGAAAATGCAACAGGAACGTGATGTTGTGATGCGTCTTGAGAATAATAGTGAGGTGGATTTTGTTATAAATATACTCTGCGTTCTCAAACCCTCCAACACAGGCGGTACGTTTCTTATGGAGAAGAAGAGTGATGAACATTATACAAAGTTACGTGTTCCAGATAGGGCTCAACTCGAGCGAACAACAAATGATGATAACGTTGAGTGGCCACTTCCTCTTATATCTCGTGAGGAAGCTCAACAACCGTGTTCTCTAGAGGACATGATGTTGTTAATGCCACCACCACCACCAATAATAGCATCTGTGGAACCTACCAATGAAAAGAACAAGAATGACATGTTGTCTGAGCTTGGTACCTTGCAGAGGACACGTATTGATACTATTCTGGCATATTTGAATGGGGAATTACAGAGTTTACCTACCCAAGTGGAACCTGTTATTACTACGATTACTAATACTAAAACTACTGCCGTTAATAATAATAATAATAATAATAATAATAATAATAATAATAATAGTAATAATAATAATAATTCTATTCATCCAATCAATATTGATAATATTAGTCATATCAGTCTTACTGCTGCTTCTAAGAATGGTGGTGATAACACAGGTCCATTCCCATCGGTTGAGCAAACACGTGTGCCTGACAATAAAGAGAATGACAACACAAGTGTGGCATCAACCTCAACCTCAACAATACGCCACATACGTGAAGTGCAAGCCCCATCAACTCCCTCTCTTGCTGCTGCTGCTGCTGCTGATGATGATGATGATGATTCCTACACATCCCAGAACTCACCTTTACCCCGTGCTGTCCCAACTCCAGGAATGATGGCTCCCACATCTCGTCCATTCCCTCCTCCTCCTCCAGCAGCTGCACTTCTCATGTCAGCAGTAGTAGGCAGTGAAGGGAACAGCACCGCAACAGAGATACGATCCTTACTGCGAGAACTGCGTGAGATGGAAAACCGTATGGCTTCATTGGAAAGACTCAGTCAGCCACAACCGCGCCTCCATACACATTTCCACACAGCGTCTAGTCCTCAACAGGAATCACTTGATGGAAAGACAGAATCTCTCAGTTCTCCACGTTCGTTGCCTCCAAATCCATTTCTACGCTCGGCTGCCCCACCCTCACGTATTTCATCCCAGCAGGAGGTGAGTACTGATATGAGTACAGATATGAGTCCTGTCAGTTTTGAGCGTCTTATCGCGAATAAGAGTTGTGAAGAACGACTGCTGTTACGTAACTGTGAAATTGAAAGAAAACTTGCTCAAGTCTCAGAGTACAGAAAAGGAAATGATACACGCAAACTGCTACATGTAGCCCGTTTGCAGGAAGGTCTGCTGCTGCTCATACGAGCTCAAGAAGAAGATGAGCAGAAACGACAGCAAGAGGAGAAAAAAAAGAAGATAGAAATGGGTGGGGAAATAAATAGTATTCAAACGTCAACAAGAAATGGAATAAAGTCATCAGGACTTGTAATGTCAACATCAATAGATTCTGAAGTGGATGATGAAGAGAATGACGATGAGGAGGGGGAGGACACTCTCAATGATACTACAATAAAGTGGAAACAATGGTGCGAAGATCATTTGGGTGAACATTTAACTGCATGTAAAGAAAAAATGGTGCAGGATATTTTTTCTGGGCAAAAGCCCTCATTTTCATGACTCTCTCTCTCTGTGTTTGAGGGGACGTCGTGTGCTATTATTGTATACAATCTAAATAACCCCATTACAGTATTATTTGTAATTGTACTTTTTTTTTTCTTTTTTCGTATTCCCTCTTTATCTATTTTTTTTTTATTATTATTATTTTGTTTGCCTTTACGAATGTGTCTGGAGTTTGTTTTTTTGTTGTTGTTGTGCTGCCTATTTATTTTGTTTTGTTTTCGCCTGTTATAGCAGCTTCAAATATGTTTTTTTTTTTTTTTGTAATTGTTCTTTCTTATATTTTCTTTCATTTCCAAGCTCTCTTCACTACGTTGTAAAAGAAACAAAACGAAAAAAAGAAGAGACGCATACATTAATATAGACAGAGAAGTTTATATATATATATATATATATATATACATAAAGAAAGGAAAAAACAAAATGCCGTTGCGGTTTGGTCCCGGTTCTGGGAGAAGTTCCTCTGCTACACCGCTTGCTGTGGTGTATACACTGCGGCATGAAGATCCTGTCATCTTAAAAACTTACAGAAGTAAACGAATGGAATGTGCCCCTGATATGAGAAGAAAGCCGCCACGCACAGTGTACATTTTTTTACCCTCTTCCTCACAAACAACACAGGAGACGAAAGAAGAAGAACAGCATCAGCAGCAGCAGCAGAAAGAGAGTAATAGTACTAGTAATAAGATTACACCGCTAAAACAGCAAGATTTGTTCTACAGTAGGTGTGGGGAAGGATCTGCTTATACTTATACAATACCAAAACCGGTAGAAGTAGAGCCGATTGATTTGCCAGTCTTTTCTGTTCCTTTGAGGAGACCATTGCCGTTCTCGCCACAACTGCTGCCGCTACTAGATCACAATGAAGTTCCATTCCCTCTCACACTGACATTGAGTCGAACATTGCCACAACGTCGGATGCAATCAAAGGCACGTCGTGCGGAGTTAATGAGACGGGCGTTGGAAGGAAGTCGTGTTTCTCTTACGTGGGAGGAAATGTTGGAAGTCTCACGGGTCGCGTGGAATTCAGCTGTACAGATTCCAGTAACAATAACACCACCACCACCACCGCTGCTGCTGCTGCCAAACCTCCCTCTCTTTTCCCCGCATTTCTGTTTACCTCCTCAAATGATGGAACAATACGATGCATCCTCGCCGAGTTGTAGTCGAGATAACAACAACAACACGAAGAAGGAGGAGAATATGGTTTGTTACCTTTTTGATTCTATTGTGGTTCCAAGATGGAAACCAAATCATCAGCTAAAAAAGCGTGGTATGCTGCGATGGTGCCCTATTCCTCCAGATCGTAATACTCTTATTGATTGGAACCTCTCATGGCAGGCATTACTTAATCAAGAAACTCTACTAGAGTCTCATTTTCACGAGGCAACCAAATCCATTTCAGAGATCACAAGGCCTTCATTTCCAGATACAACACTAATAGTAGATGAATTGCCTTTCATAAGGGAGAAGAAGAATGTAAATGAGACCTTTGAGCTAATCCACATTGTGGTTCCCTGTATTTCACGTGTGCAAATGCAGAAGGAAACACGACGACAACAATGCTATGCAAACATACACTCTACACTCGTACAGAATTTATCGTCCAATATAATGCCGAAGCGTATGAAACGTGCCATAGAGTTGCGATTTCCAGAAGGTAAACATGTTCGACAAACTTTAACGCTGCGAAATGTTGCCGCAGAACGTCTGCAGGAAGATATTGCTGCTATTAGAATTCGGCGGCATCAACGTCAGCGTCAACGAAAGGGTGTGGTCCACTGGATTCGTGAGGGATCAACTCCCGTCTTGCAGAGGCGTGATCTTTGGACTGTTGTTCTCCTTTCCTCGAGAGCACTATCTGCTGCACACCAATTTGAACCACCAAAATCCAGTGAGATATTATGGAATAAAAGTAAGAGAGAATGTCAACTCCAACCTCCATCGTTAATATTATCACCCTTCATGTTAGATGGTGCTGTTCTATTTTCCTCGTATGGCTGCTCCTCATGTTTGCCATTGGCAGTGGAGGAGGTAGATGATGGGAGTTGCTGCCGTAGGGAAGACGCAGTGCTCTGTCCTCTGCGCGTGTTTTCACGGGAGGAGGAGCTGCAAAGTTTCCGGATAATGCGAGAGCGAGAGATGCGGTGGGAGGTAAAGAAGGAAATAGACATGGGAAACGAGGAATGTAATGGGAAAGAAGAAGAGGAAGAAGAAGAAGAAGAAAAGTGGTATCATGCAGCTTTTTTGGATGATATCCGTAGTATGGCTCTACCCTACCGAAACTCTGTGGCACTCATTGAAGATGCAAAGCTCCACTATTATTGCCGTTTGGCGCTTCATCAGGAGAAAAAACGCCTCGGTCTCCATGAAACTCGTTAATTTCCTATATTATTCCTTGTTGTTGGGAAACCTTTTTTTTTTTTTTGTTTTATTGACTTTTTTTTTCATTATTTTTTTTTTGTTTATTTTATTTTTATTTTTTTATACAGAATCAGAGTAATTGTGTGGGCAAGATCTATGGGATGTAAGTTACCTTCATTGGATTCTAATGATTCCAAGCAGAATGGCTGGAGATGATGGTGTGGGGAGTGGGGTGTTTAACCCTCTTTACGAGGTGTGAAACTTTATCCATTACTAATATACTACTGATGCCAGGTACTTTCTCTTGTAAAGATTATTATGTGTCTTTTGTTTTTCACAGATGTCATTTACCATTCTTGTTCTTATTATTACCTTTTTTTTTCTTCTAAAGTCTCTTGTTACCTTTTGGTGACAATAGCCTTTTCTTCTTTTCATTTCTATAGATAAGTGAACCCGGCGTAAACGCTACTCACCTCGGTAGTCTCTTGTTCTGGTTTTTGGCGGTAAATACATTTCTTTGCAGTAGAACTTGTTTTCTAAAAAGAAAAATATAAGAAGTAAATCTTTTTTTTTTTGCTTTTATTGGGCTTAGTGAAGGGAGAAGGTGCTTGAATGCATCAAGTTTTTGCTTTTGTAGTGTTATCTTGTTGAGAAGTTTACTAGTGTGCCATTTTGGGGAAACGTCCTATAGAGATGAACGAATACCGTATTGTGGAGAAGTTGGCGACAGGAAGCTTTGGCGTGATCTTTAAAGTACGTCGTGTAAAAGATAATAGTATCTTTGTCATGAAACGCATTGCTCTCACTGACCTTGACGAAAAACAACGACAGGATGCGGCACAAGAAATACGGGTGATGACTCATCTTCACCACCCTTTTATTGTTGCCCAGCGTGATGCATTTATATTCAATAGTGATAGTCTTTGTATCGTTATGGATTATTACGATGGTGGTGATCTTGATGCTCTCATTACGCGACAACGCGAAAAGGATGAGTATTTGCCTATGGATCTTGTTATGACGTGGTTTGCCAGTATGTGTTTAGCAATTCAATACCTCCACACAATGCGTATCGTTCATCGCGACCTCAAGACCCACAATGTTTTTCTCGATCTTGAGACCAAGGAAGTGGCTATTGGTGATTTTGGTGTAGCAGAATTTTTAGACGCGCCTCCATCGTCGCAGCCACCCCTCATAAGACGGCGCGATAGCGATTCAAACACAGATGGTTCCCGTAGTAGAACCCCCAGCTGCTGCAGCAATAGAGGTAGCAATAGTAATAGTGTAGCTGCCGCTGCTGCTGCTGCTGCTGCCGCCGCTGCTGTTGCTGGTGGAGGAAATGGAGTGAATGGCATTTTCGGCGGTGGTGTGCGGGGGACACTTCTGTACATGGCGCCGGAGGCCCTCGAGAGCGGCGTCTGCAGCCCGAGCTCCGACGTCTGGTCGCTTGGTTGCATTTTGTATGAATTGTTGAGTCTCCGGCATCCGTTCGAGTCGCGGGATATTGCGGCGTTGATGGTGCGGGTGTTGGCGGGGGCACGGGAGCCGCTGCCGGCGCATTATCCCGCTGAGGTGCGGGAGTTGGTCGATCGCATGTTGGCGCTGGACCCGCAGCGGCGGCCGAGTTGCGAGGAGATCCTCCGCAGCCCGGCGGTGTGCGGCTACGCGCGAAGAGTCACAGCCCAGCGTGTGATGAAGGAGCCGCAGGACTCACCTGTTCACCGTACGTGGGAAATGCAGAAACAGCAATTCGGCATAAACAGCAATGACAAGGGCAATAGTTCCTGTAATGATAATGGTGGTAATAGTAATAAGGATTATCACAATGCCCCACTACCACAAGCGACGAAGCCGTTGATACCACCATCGCAGGAGCGGGAGACGGCGGAACTGCAGGCGAAGCAAATCGTTGTTCCCACACCGCAGTCGGAGCCACCACTTTCACCTGGAAATCTTGGATTTGGAGACGGTACGAATCAGTCACGAACACATTTGTTATCATCATTGAAACCTCGTGATGATGATAGTAATGGTTTCTCCTCATACGCCGTTAGGCATTGTAGTACTCCATTTGGTGATGAAAAAGGTAATTTGATTGAAAGGGATTCATTTGGAAATGATCAACTCCGCCGTACATTACCATTGTATGCTGGTAATGTGGAGGATATGCGGTACAAGCCACTAGCATGTATCGAGGAAGAAGTAAGGCGTTACCGTCATCTTGTGCAAAGTGAGATGAGAACCCAAAAACAGCAACGTGATGCAGCAATGCTCAAGAAGAAATTTGACATTGATGTAACCGTCCCAACACCCTACCGTGCAAGCAGTGTATATTTAGGGAATTCACCTACAGAAGTAATGACACCCGAACTTTTTCTTGCCTCTCAGATATTAGCAAAGAATACACAACTCTCAAATCCTTTAAAAACAGGTGTTCATGTAAATGGCAGTAGTAGTACTAAAAATGAGAACTACCCACATGAAAACCTTGAAGCCTCATTGGTAGAACAACGGCGAAACTGTGTTGACAGTGCTATACAGGTCCTCGGTGGTGACACTTTTCTTACCGTGTATAACTATTACAAAAGTGTCGAAGTGGCCAACCGTGATGTGGCGCGAGTGATGCAGATGGTACCAGTTCGTTCTCGATGGCATATACTTCCAGTAGTTGAGGATGTTGTCGTGATTGAACGTTTGCTAGAACAGATAAAAATTGTCACGGGTTCGCCTTGATGTTTATTAATGAATGGTCTGTATATTTTTGTTGTTCTTGCTATATATATATATATATATATATATATATTGTTTATTATTATTGACATTATTATTTTTATTGGTATTATATTTCGTTTCCTTTTTCTTTCTTCACTCTCCCAAATGTTTCCCCACTATGGTTACTCTTATCTTTCCCACCGTTTTTTTTTTTTTTTTTATCATTCTCTCTTTAAGCGGATTACAATTGTTTCCCCTTTTGACGGCTGCGCACAGACTCACTAACACACATCCTGTGCGGCGATGACTGACTTTGCCGCCTTTCGCGATTACCAAACGCGCTCCACCATCGTGGCGGAGAAGGAGCGCGCCGTGGAGCTCCGCCGCCGCGTGCTGCAGGACCTCGCGCAGAACGTGCAGCTCCTCGGCGACGAGTGCCGGCGGCGGGAGGAACAACTGCAGGCGGAGCACCACCGCTACGCCCACCGCCGGGCCGCCCAGGACGAGAAACTCGCCGCGAAGGAGCGGCAGGCGCAACTGCAGCGCGAGCGGGTCGCCGCCCTCGAGGCGGAGGAATCGCGACTCCGCGCCGCCCTCGCCGACCGCCTCGCGCAGCAGTCGCAACTGCGGGACGACATTCAGGCCGGCGCGGCGCTGCGGGAAAAACTGCGCGAGGCCGCCGCCGGCGTGGCGCGACTGAAGTGCCGGCGGGAAGAACGCGACGGGGAAGTCGCCGCGCTGGAGGCACACGCCGCGCGGGCGGAGGAGTTGTTGCAGCGACGACACACACACGTGGAGGAGCGGCTGCCGGGGTGTTGGCTCCCACGCGTAGAGACAGCACGCGGCGTCGGACTAGAGGACACCGCCGGCGAAAGTATCCTCCTCATTGATGAGTTCAACTAGAGAGTCCACATACACACACAAGTGCAGATTGTGGACATTATATATATATATATATGATATTGTATGGATAGTTTTGGAAGTGTATATGTATGTGTCTCTATTCATGGATGTGTTCTTGTGACCTTGCTTAGATGGTGTCGTATGTGTACACATAATATAGATAACATGCGCACTGACTCACAGGTACGCAATCAAGTAGAGAAGTTCACATACATACAAACATACATGAGTACCTTGTAGACAAGACGGAAAAAAAAATTAGATGATGATTATGATTCACTCTGTTTTATACGTTTCTTATTCCCTTTTTGGTGTGAGTTATATATATATATTTTTTTTTCTCTTCTACTTATATATACTGGCATCTCATTCAAATGAAAGGGTACTATGACCCTTCTCATGTTCTCTTAATGCAGCTGTTTCGTTGCTTCCGTCTTTTTTTTTTTTCTTTCTCTTCTTTATTGGTGTTTTCATAGTGTGTAGTGTGGTACAGAGAGATAGATAGATAGATAGAGGGGCAAAGAGATAAATAAACCAAAGGAAGAAAAAAAAAAAAGTTAGGCGTGGCTAGAAGAGGTACACCTCATGTTGTCACAGCAGCATCATTTGGACATTACCCAGTTAACTGTGAGTGTTACCACAAATGACAAGGATGAGGCCTTCATTGTGGAGCTGAGCGACAAGCATGCAAACGGTTCAACAAGTTCTTCTCAGGTACTGCGGCAATGGAAGGATTTTGTGCAGTTAGATCGACTCGTACGTTCAATGGCCCCAAAATTTGATGCCCCGCAGATGCCAGTGGTGGATAATGCTACACGTGAGGAATTGCGAGAGTACATGCAAGTTTATCTTTCTGCCGCCATCACATGCAATCCTTTAAAACATCTCAAAGAGTTTCAGGACTTTCTTAGATTTAATGAATATATCCAACAGGAGCGTCAGCGCACTTTTGTAACGGATTACAAATTTGCAACACTACGCCATGTGGCCTCACAGCAACAGTTGTTACTTCAACAAAATTATAAGCCACGTAGTCCGTTAGAACTCCGACGGATAATTAAACCGGAGGGAAAAGAAACCGCAGAAGAAACAGCAGCAGAAGAAGAAGAAAGAGAATATTCTATTCGTGGCAGTAGCGTGGCAGCAGAACAGCGTGAAGAAGTGGATGAAGCAGAGAATACATTGGATGAGTGTTTTCGTATTATGGATGTTGGAGCAGCTGGGTATATTACATTGGAAGATATGAAGGAATTTTTTCTTTGTGCTAATGTCAATAGTGAGATGTTGCAACTGCGGAAAGATGAATTATGCAATCGAAAACGTTTTGCTGAGGTGGTACGACAGACATTACGCAATGCAAATATTACACTTACTCTTGATGAGTGGATTGATCGCTATTGGTTGCAACAGTATCGTAAGATTTACGCAGCTATTCCTATATTTTTAAACTGGGAAGGGGATTGGAAAGAGTTTGGAAGAGAAACTATGAATGGTTTTGACGGTTTTGAATTGGCCACACTTATGTATGTTCTCACAGAGGCGGGACTGCGTCTCTTGAGTACATTAGAGATATCGGAATGGGTACAAAGTAAACGATATCAACGCTCTTGTGAACTTACGATGGATCAATTCGCAGTTTTACTCGATGCGCTCTCAAAGGCGGTGCCTTTTGCAGAACTTTGGTTATCTCTCTTACCCAATAGTAACAACAATTCAAAGATGTTACAACTTATCTATACTTACGCCGCTATTGCGGATGTCACAGTGGTGGAAGAGCTGCAAGAACATATCATGCAATTACAAAGGAGAGTGGCAGGAACAACACGAGATGGAGGTAAATGTGTGAACTGCAGCAGAGTTGAGGAAACCCTGCGGAAACAGTCCGCACAACTTGAAGCGGAAAAAGTAGCGAAGGAAACTCTAATGGCGAAGATGCGTTACTTGGAGCAGCAGTTGGAGGAACGGTTAGTGGAACTCACACAATTACAGGAGGAACACCAACACACGCAGATGTTACTAGAAGATGCTGATCTTCGTCAAGCAGAGTTAATGGAGACACTTGAGAACTCGAGACTACAAAATGAAGGAAGATCTTCTTCTTTTTCAGGTGCTATGTTCACACATACCGCAGTCTCTTTACCAGCAACAACTACTCTTCTGCAGTTACTGCCGTGTAGTACTACTGCTGCTGCTGCTGCTGAATATAGAAGAGAAGTTAATGTGCCAACTTTTTTCATAGGCGTTTTAAACACCAAAGGGGCTGTGGCGTACGCTATTCCATCCGAATTCTCTTGTCCATCTCATTGGAGTGTTGGTGTATTCTTTTGTGGTGAGGGCACAACCATTGGGGGAGGCAAAACAGAACGTCTTGTCTTTCGTGATGCTGATGGACGGCGTAGTTGTGCTTTTCTTTTTAAAAATAACGAACTGCATGTTTTGGTAAAAGAGAAGAACAGTGATGCAGAGAAGAGAAAGGGTGTTATTAACGGCAATAATAGTCGTCGTGTGTTTCGACTCACCTCACGCCGTTGGTACACTCTAAATTGTTTTCTTAATTGGAAGGAGAAGACATTCTCTGTCTCGCTAAAGGAAGATGATGACACTGGAGGCGGCAGTAGTGTTGGTGTTGGTGTTGGTAATATGAAGAAGGAGAATAATAAAGGAAAGGGTTCTGATAACAGTATCTTAACGAAATCAGAAGAAGGTGTATGTGGTCCATTTACAATGATTGACGAACAGGTGAATGGGATTACCGTTGTTGACATATTTCCAAGAACAGAGCTATTGGTTTGTTATTGTAATTTCTTTCTACATTCCACAATGGTTCCATCTGCTGATGAGAAGGTCATGGAGAAGTAAAAAAAAAAGAGGCGAATTCAGTGGGTTTTTTTTTTTTTTAATTTCATTTTATCGTTTGTATTGTATATATATATTTTTTTTTGTCAGTTTTTTTGTTTTTATAATTGCAGATATTTCTCTGTAGGTATCTTTTTGTTTTTTAGTTTGTTTTTGGTTCTTGACATTGTGATTGCCGTTGTTTTATTTTTCCCTATGTTATCCTTTCGTTTGTATTTTCTCATGCCTGTATTGTGTAATCCCTTTTTTCATTGTTTTTTTTTTTTTTTTTTGTTTTTCTTCTTCTTCTTTTCTCTCTGTGTTTTAACAATTATTTAAATAAAAATAAAAGGGTGGAATTAAAGGCGATTTCGTGTCCGACTTTATAAAGAAGAAAGAAAGAGAAGGTATCAGACAATCGTGTTGAGGTGCTTTCTCATTTTCCGCCCTTTTTCATAGTATATTTTATTTTTAGGTAAGATATATTTTCAGTTGTATTTATTTACCTACACGTCCACCGAGAGGGAAACTGAAGAAGGAAAAAAAAAGACTTTGGCAGGGATACGGATACACATAGGTAGACCAATATAAAGGTAAAGAGAAATATATATATATATATTTATATATTTCTCTCTCTTTGTGTGTGCGAGTGTGTGAGTGTTATCCTTGTCTCTCTGTCTCGTCTTGTACATTTTGTTTTCACTATTTTCACCCACCATTATAATTTGCCATCATTGTCATCATCATCATCACGAGGACTATTGGTTATTATTATTATTATTATTATTATTATTATTATTATTATTATTATTATTATTATTATTATTCCCTGATACTTATATTCTCTATTTGCCGCGTTAACGATCTGGGACGATTTGGCAAACGAGTGAGGCCTTCAAAAAAATAATAATAATAATAATAATAATAAACGCCAACGAGAGAGAAATATAAGAAGAAAAAAAAAAACATTGTACTTGTAACAAATCTCTGGTGGAGCTGTGGTAGAATTGTACAGTAAAAAAAAAAAAAAAGGAGGGAGAAAAAGTTTAAAAGTTAGGAAACGACGACCTTGCGAATTTTAAAAGAAGGTGAGAAGAAAATACGAAAAAAAAGAAAAAAAAAAGATATCTTTTAAACAAGAGAAAAATATATAAAGAAAAAACACACACAAAACAACAACAACAAAAAAAAAAAATGGGCATGGATCATTACCAGATCATTAAACAACTTGGTGGAACGACGGGAACTTACCTCGCAGTAGATAAACAAGATGGGGCGAAGAAAGTTGTGATCAAACGATTAATGGATGGTACGCAAGGTATGCAAGAACTTAATGTCTCGCTGCGTGTACGACACCCAAATATTATAACTTTCCTGGAATCTTTTGTACATGATGGTGGACTTTATGTGGTGTTAGCCTATGCAGAGGGTGGAGACCTAGAGGCCTATCTTGAACGTCTCGCCAAGGAAAAGAAACCAATGCCTCAATTACAACTTCTTCGTGGATTCAAACAACTCATTGAAGCACTACAGTGTTGTCATGAGCAAAATATTTTACACCGCGATGTGAAACCGGGTAATGTGTTCCTTAACGCTGATGCAACGGTAATGTATCTTGGTGACTTTGGTTCCGCTAAAGCTCTCTTACGCTCCGTCTCATTGACAACAACCTTTGTTGGCACTCCCATTTGGATTTCACCAGAATTACTTACGGGAACAGCCTACAGTTTCCCTTCTGATATCTGGTCACTGGGATGTGTATTTTATGAGATGGCCGCTCTCAAACGACCCTTCTCACCAACTAGTTTTGCAAACCTCGTACAGCAAATCACATCTGGTGATATTGCTCCACTGCCTGCAACAGTGCCTGAGGATATTCGTATGATCATTATGTCAATGCTTCAGACAGACCCGGGAAAACGGTCTACATTGGAAAAAGCGCTTGAGATGACAGATAAGGCCATCGAAGCTCGTAATACTGTAGTGACGCAAGCGTCAGAAAAGCAAGTGGTGGAGAAATCTCCTCCACCGCATTTGCCTAAACGAGTGCTGGACGCAGCTTTAAAGATAGAACAACAACAACAACAACAACAACAGCAACAGCAGCAGCAGCCAAAAGAACAAAAACCTATACCAGTAGCAAATGGAGCAGCGAAGGAGGTGAAAGTGGAGGTAGAACCGATAGCACCTTTGGAAGGAGAAGTGCCAAAACTATCTGATTGGCTTCATGCACGAAATCATGACATGACGGTGATTGAACGTTATCTTGACAAGTTTCGACAATCCGATGAACAGGTGTTAGCAGCTACTTTGGGCTCAGTGAAGGATATTAAACGAGTGGAAGATCAAAATATTCCATCTCCTTCACCAGTACGCTTATCGACCCCACCACCATTGGTGCAACAGCATGAATCAAAAATGAAACCAGGTGTAGTATTTGAAGTACGTGTTGCGGCTTCCTCACCACAGCAACCAACAAAGGCTCAACCTTCACGCCGTCGTGTTATTCCTAAAAAACTCAATCATCGAAAAAATGATGAAAATGGTGGCAACCATGTAAACAGGCAAGCGTCTCCTTTGGCCCGTGAACCCTCTGTTGCTCACAATTTGGATTGGAATGGTATACAGGCGTTTAGACGGCTAAAAAGTACACCTTCTGCTTTTCGCCACGTTTCGCCACACGCGCCTTCGCAACAACAACAACAACAACAACAACAACAACATCAGCATCATCATCAACATCAACAACATCATGCACCTTCACAACAACAGGAAGAGGAACGGCAACAACAACGCGAAAAGAGAGAACAGGAACGAGCGAAGATGCTTGAAATGATACGTGAGCAGAAGGCCAAGGCAATGCAGGAACGCAAAGCAAAGGGCAAAAGTGAAGTTAGAGACGCAGTGGCTGTGGAAATCGTTTTACCAGACAACATCCGTTATGTAGACGACGTCGCCCAGGGCAGACTGTGAATAGCCTAAACCCCCCGATGTCTCGATGGGTTTGGAAGTTGTCTTTTTTTTTCTTTTTTTTTCTGTCTGTGCATATATATATGTGTGTGTGTGTATCATTTTTTTTTTTTTCTTTATGCCATATTTTGGCGTTTCCCTCTGTCGGACTTTTGCTTTTGTTTTCCTCAGCGCGGTGGGCTTGTGGCGGCAAAAAAAAAAAAACAAATGAGGACCAACAAAAGCAAGAGACAAGCGTTACAGAAAAGGACGTCCTTTCAAGGCCACGACGGAGGAATTTCTACGACCATCGCGGCGTGCATGGGGCGGAAACTTCCGCCGCATTGCTTCCAAAAAAAAAAAAAAGTGCAAACAATATCATGTTTTCTCTCTCCCTTGAGATCGGCGGCGGGTGAGGGGGCGCCGTTGGTCCACAACACTTTTGTTTTTTTTTAAATAAAAAAAATCATTGTTTGCCTCAAGTGAAAAAAAAAAAACGAATGACAATCATTAATATATGTTTTTTTTTTTCTTCCTTTTTCTCTTTTTGTTCTTTTATTTCCGGCCAACCAGCCAACAGGGAAGGCAGAAGGAGGATCAAAAAAGGAAAGCACAAAAAGGAAAAAAAAAAAAGAGAGACAAAGGCGAACGGCGACGGAAACGGAACCGGCACACAGCTTTCGCCGAAAGCGGGGCCTTGTTGCCCCACGCGGTCACCCACGGGAACCGCCGAGGGTGGGAAAGAAACGTCCCCTCAGCAGGTTCCCCACGCCATCCTCAAAAAAAAAAAAAAAAAAAAACAGGGGGACAAACAAACGCCGGGAATCCCCGGCCGCGGCCTCGAGGGGGGGGAGGGGATTGGGGCCACCATGCCCCGCCCGGAAAACCCTTCCCGCCACCCCTCCTCCCCCGAACCCCGCCCCAAACGGCTAAATTGGGCGCCCCGGCCCAAACGCCAAAACTTCCCCCAACACCCTCCACCAACCGGCGGGGGAAAAAAAGCGGGCTGCCAACCCCGGGCCCGCCCAACAAAGAAAAAAACAAA